CTGGCAAGTTCTGTGAGACTGGTTCTCTCTGAGGTGATTCTCGGCAGGGGAGGGAGACAGAGAAATTTAGGGAAAATAAAGCCTACCTTTATTACCTAGATGCCCCCCCCGTCTCTCCCATATGCCATGATCTGGCGTGCGTTTTTCAGAAGATGTCTTTGTGACATTATTTTCCATATCCCGTCAAATGCTTCTGGGCACTCAGCAGTATCAGGGAGCAGGTGCCATGAATAGGGCTCAGCACAGGCCCACCACATGCCTTCTCTGAGCTCCCGTAATGGCCATGACGGGGTGCCAAGGCCCTGTCAGCGCCAGCAGGCCCGCCGAGCCCATGGGAGCCCTTTCCCACCTGGTCCAGGTCCCTCCTCCACACTCCTGTTGGCTCAGCCACATTCCCTGGGGCCGGCCCGGATCTGGGGTGAAGGTGTGAGCTTGGAACAGCTTTCTTTTGCAGACCTTTGTGATTCTGGAAAGATAAATGCTCATTAATGCCATGCTGAACTGACCCAGCTGACTTCCTGTTTTGACAGTATTTGTCATGAAAAGAATTCCAGGGATTTTAAGGATCAAAAGTCCAAGAAAAAAAGAAACATGACATTTTAAAGCTTGTATTTACTGATTGATGATTTTGGTTAACCAGCTCTGTTTCTGCAGTAGGAATTTTTCAACCATCATTTAAATTTTTTCTGAGAATGAGACACTGACAAATTATTTGTAATCAGTAACTCCTTACGCAAAAACTAACGAGCATAATGATGAAATGTAATCTTATCATTGAAAAAAATTTGGATCGGTCAGTTTCATTCATTAAACATAAATTCACCACTTGTGACAGACTGGATACTCTACTAGGGCTGGATAGCCAAATATGATCTGATTCTTAAAATTGCTAAGACTTTTTAATAAATTGGTACTGCTTTAAATTCATGTTTAAGAATTTAGATAATTGGCAATCATTAGGATGCAGAAACACTTTAAAAAAAATAAAGTATCTCTAACCTATCTATGCAGGATTTACCAGAAAGTTGACAAACAAAAGTTAATTTTGTGGAATAATACAGTGGTAACTATATAATAAAGAAGTTCTGCTTTTTAAAGGAGTCTTTATTTGTAATTTTTGGTTGTAATTATAATTGACGATAGCAGACATAAAACAGTACTGTAATCATGTAAGTGATTAAATACTAGATTTTGTGGGACGAATTAAGTACTTCAGAATTGAGGTAAAGGAGCCAGCTCAGAGAATGGTAGTTGGGGAAATGCTTGCTGGAGGTGATGGGGCTTGAACTGAAGGAAGATTCCTGGGAACAGGGGCAAAGGGGACTGTCCCCACCAAGAAGGAGACTTAATGAAGCCAGGAAAGAGGGGACATCTTCCTGCACCAAACACAAGACGTGTGTGCGGGGCGAGGCAGGGTGGGACGGCAGACGAGGTAGAGTGGTGCAGCATGGCCCTTGACCCCTAATTCCTTCCCAGGTTCCTCAGCTGTAAATACGGATAGGATTCGTGCTGACTTTGAGGGGCAACTGTGAGATTAAAAGAGATGATAAGTGTAAAGTTCCTGGTGCACAGAAAGTGTTCCGTGGACAGAAGCTGGTGTTGCTGTTAGGGAAGATGGATGGGGCCGAACCAGCAAGGGCAGGACCGCTAGGTAGTCATCATATTTTGATGTGATGGAAATGAGAAGTCCCATCTCCCGTGGGCCTCACCACTGCCCTACAAGGGAGCAAGGGGCTTTGTTCCCAGAGGGCCTGGGAGAGGTGACAAGCACCTTGCCCAAGGCCACCTGGCTTCCAAGAGGGAAGGTGAGGTTTGAACCCAGACCTGCCTGGTTCTGACGTCTGGGCTCTTTCTCCTCCTCTCAGACTGCCTCTGCCCGGGAAGCCATCTGTCAGAGGCTGATGACCCCATGGGGAAGAGGAGTGGCTGGCCCAGGTAGTTATTACTGCTACTGAAAAGAGGGGTGAGTTCAGAGTATGTGTTGACACACCCTACCCCACCTCCCAGGATGAAAGGAGGAGGGGGAGGAGGAAATTAGACAGCAGCACCTCAAGGAGAGAAGAGAGAGCACTCGGTGATCAGCTGCGAGAGGAAAGAGGACAAGCTGAGTTGGAGATGAGCGTGCTGTTTGAAAGGAAGGCAGGCACTGGCAGGCTCTACCTTCCCTCCATCTGGGCTTGGGCCCCAAAGTGCTCAGGCAGCAGTGGTGGAGTCGGAGGGTTTCTCAGAAGTGTAACTTCTTCAGGGTTCTCAGTAAGTCTTGCTTGGTGTGAGTGACATGTTGCTTGGCTAAACTCCCTGTTTCATCTGTGCCATTGAGGGTTGGGGAGGAAGGAGTGACCTTAGGTAAGAGATATCTAGATGTTCTTGGGCTGGGGTCTACTTTTACACCTTCTAGGGTAATGCTTCTCCCACCAGTGTTGAAGGACCAATTTAAAATTTTTTTTGATTTAAAAAGTTTCCAGTCTATCTGGAATGATACTTTTGTAAAATGAAAAAAGGGTTACTAGAAAAAGAAACTGAAAAAGATATGCAGAATGCAAACTTGAATTTTTTTGAATTTTTTATTATTAGACTTAGTTAGATATAAAATCACTCTGTCACATTGCCATAAATGCTTATTCTCAATTTCTGTACTTAATTTTGACTGCAGACTAGCAAACTATTCATGGACTGGTACACTTTGAGAGCAGTGATCTAGGAAGAAACTTTGTTAAGCAACTAAGTAAACAGGACGTTTTTGGAATATTTGCATGATTCAAGAGTAAAAACAGTCTTTCAGTTGGCATTTCAAATACTTTAGATGTGTGTTTGTGTGTGATCTAATTACAAATGACATCTTTTCAGGAAAGTTCCACGTTAGGGGGCAGGAAAGTAAAAGAAATACACCAAGAGCCGAGTCGCAGTCATTGTGAGGGACGTGTAAGTTCAGGCTGCTAGCATTGCTTGGAAGAACGGGTGCTTTAAACTTCCTCTGTTGTTTCTGAGAATCGTTGTATTTCTTTTGCTCATTTACTTTATATTAGTTTGTTTTCTCTGTTAGTTTCTGCTTGCCTTTGAATTTATTTTTATATTTTGGTGCGTAATTTAGGTGTATTCTTTCAGGGGATAGTTTCTTAGGCAAACTTCAAAAAAGTCTCAAGAATTAACACAGAGAGGTCATGTGGTAATGTAATTGTTCATATTTCAAATTTGGTTTTTGATTCTAGCTGCCAGTGTATCTTATTTTATATTTTGAACTATTTTTACTTTTGATCTCTTCCCTTGCACTGAGATGAGCTGCCGTGTTCTTCCCTGAGCCTAGACTTCTCTTCCCCCGCCTTTGGGGCCTCGCCCAGGAGCTGCCTCCCTGGAGGGGGGCGGCCTGTCAGCAGTAAGGGCGCCTTCCTCTGGCTGCTGCAGCTGCCTCTCCAACCCCGGCTGAGCACCTGCTTTGGCACTTACTCCTCTCCCACTGCCCCTTTCCTCCTGGCTCCAAACTCAGGACTTCCTTTTGTTTTGTACCTTACTATTACATGTTTCAAGGCTCTTTCATGTATATATTTTCTTATTTCATCCTCCAGACAATCCCATGAGTTTGGTAGAGTCTCCATTTTAATTGAGGTGAGGCTGGGAGAGTGTCTGCCTGGCAGGTATCTTCCTTCCTTTCACCCTTGGGCTCCCAGTTACTTGTACCACTCACGTCCAGACTTCCACACGCTCAGGTTTTGAGCCTGCCATTTTGAGGTCCTCATTTTTACACAGTATTTATACTTGTTACCTGAGAAATCTAACGTTAGAATACTTGGTACAGCATCACAGGCCTCTTTGGGAGAAAAAGATCTTCAGAACGTAACGCCAGGGCGACGGGTAGAGAACAGGAGATGAGAGAGCCCCGGAGCCGCACACGGGCCCGGGAGGTGTTTTGAAGGGCGTGTTGGGTTATCTGCACCTGTGATTTTCAGACTAGTGGGAGGGGTGGCTTTCTTCATTTCAGCAGTAACAGCCCAGCGTAGTGGATTGCTCAGAACGTTTCTCATGAAGAGAAGAATCCTGCTTTAAAAGAGGGGAGGCAGTTTGAAAAATCACATTTAGTCCAAGTCAGAAGTCGTTTGCTTTTGTCTTTGGAGTGCGTGTTGTATGTTTTCTCCCCGACTCTTGGTGAAAGAGACCTGAGTTCCAAATGCAGCCCTGCCACTTACTAGGTAGGTATGGTGACCTTGGCTGAGTTACTTAACCTCACTAAACATGTTTTCTTATCTGTAAAATGGGGGAATATTACCTACTTTGAGGATCGTTGTAAGAATTAAAGATGATGCAGGTACCAGAGGGCTTGACAAGTGAAAGTTACTTGAAAGCTGATAGAGAAGAGAGACTGACCCAGTCACTGCCTGCTTGTAATTGGCCGTAGTCGTGGTTCTCCAGCCTGAGTGGAGGGACCTCAGAATCACCTGGAAGACTTTTTAAGTGACCGCTTGCTGGGCCTGCTCCCTGTGGTTTCTGATTCCCCTGGTCGGGGGTGGGGCTTGAGAATGTGCATTTCTGAGTTTCCAGGTGATGCTGCTGCTGCCACCACTGGTCTGGGGACCACACTTTTGAGAACCACTGGGCTACAGGTAAACTCACCAATGAGCACTTAGGTGCCGTAGCTACATTTGAAAGCCGAGCTTTTATGTGGTTAGAGTTAACTGTTAGAAAATGCTTGGAATACATTTTGCAAATACTGAATTTAGTATCTCAAGGATTTTTCCTCCTGAAATCCAGGAGTCTTTGTTAAATTTTATGTGAAGAGGAGTAAGTTGTGAAAGTAACCGTTATAAGCATACTATGGATAGTCTAACAGTGTCAGATTGGCTAAGGTGTGTGAAAGTGCTTTTATAAAATGCTGAAAACTGCAATAAAATATATTAAATACTTTTGTTTTTAAGATTGAACATCATAATGGAGTGTAAAATAGTGTAACTTAGATTTCTCACCTCAATGTGCTGTTTACCGTGTGTATTTTTCTCTTTCTCCTCCAGGCTGCTGACTTGAGTAAACCAATAGATAAAAGGATATACAAAGGAACACAGCCTACTTGTCATGACTTCAACCACCTAACAGCCACAGCAGAAAGTGTCTCTCTCCTAGTGGGCTTTTCCGCAGGCCAAGTCCAGCTTATAGACCCAATCAAAAAAGAAACTAGCAAACTATTTAATGAGGAAGTAAGTAGCACCCTGTCTTAGCTGTTAAGAATCCCTTTAAGAATGTATACGTTCTTGCCAGGGGTAGTGGGCCTTATGTCACATGTTGAGCTGTAAGCCCAGTTTTCATTCTCAGCTGTCCCACCTAGTATGACCCAGGTTCAAATGTGGTGAGTTAATTTGTTGACTTTTACCTGTTCTCCCTTGGGGGTAACTGTCTTGTGTGTTTTTAATGGAGCATGCACAGGTGTCTAGCAGCAGGTGCTTTAAATTCTTTTATAATAGAGATAGGGGTGAGACTTGCAGCTTGATATTTATAATTTAAATAAGAAAATATGAAATTCTGGACTTTGTTCACATCACCAGAAAATTTCAGTAGTTCAAAGAACTTGATAATCTTTCTTTAGATTACTTAAACTGTAGTTAAAGCTTTGGTGTGTATCTTCGACAGGCATTTGACTGAGAATTAGTTCTCTTGTTGCTGTAAAACCACATAGTTAGAAATCCTGGCACTTAAAATTGGATCACATGACATAGCTTTTGCCAATGTTGTAGTGTGTACCGGGGTTTCTGGTGTCTTAGCTTCATTCTGGAAGGAGCCTGAGATACCTGAGCTGTCTGTTGAGGAACATGTCAGAAACTTTAAACATGGCAAAACAGAAGTTGCCAAATAGATTATATTTTTAAAAGCTGTCGGAGCGGCTTTTCAGCCCCGAGTATCTCCACTGCTTGTTTCTTGTGCCGCCTCCTCTGTTTCAGTGCGGCTTTCCCAGTAAGCAGAAGAGATGGGCTCGGTGCGCTGAGGTGAAAGCCCTGGGCCCCGGCCTCAGCCCCGGTGTGACAAGCGTCAGATTGCGTGGAGTCGCTCTCAGGAAGGACAAGTGCTTTCGTGTGGTTCAAGGGGATGAACTTGGAGCAGAAGTGCTTTATAGGTTCTGATTTTTGAGAAGTAATTTTGTTTAGGGAAGATTATTTAACTCGACAAGTTGCAGTTAAAATTCTGATTCTTTTTGCGGTCGTTATGGTATATGCTGTCCATGTGTGTCCAGTACCGATCCGAGGTGCTGCTGTGTGACACTGCCAGTGGATCTGGGGAAATCTTTGAACCATGCCATCTTCTCTTCTAGTTTCATCTGGGGTAACTGGAAACAAAACTTGCTGTCTGGATTGAGGAAGAGTATTTAATCCCATTTTATGTTAAAAAAAACCTTAAACAGAAAATTAGTCTGTTTACATAGATGTTTTATTAGTATCATCTGAGGATGTGATTTCTGAGTGACTGGATGATTTGAGTGGGGGCCACAAAACCAGGCTTCTCTGTATTCTCAATCGAAATTATGAATTTGGAATCTTTATGGGGTTTTGTTTGTGTTTAGATGGGGGCATATTTTTGAGGGGGAAGGGATTGGAATCTTGTAAAGGGCTGTTGGTAAACAAGATCAGGAGGCTGCTCTGCTGAGGATGGCACAGAATGCCACTTAGAGAACAAGAAGGGTTGTGTGTCATCGCTGGGGGAGGGAGCAGAGACCACAGGCCCCAGGAGACGCACAGCTAACCCGTTCCTCACTCAGGACAGCTGGGAGTTGCAGGCTAGAAAGCAGCTCCTCACTCTCAGTGCTTTAAGCATGCGCTATCTCCTACTTTTTTTACTCTGTATTTGAAAAATGGCTGTTCAGAGTGCTGGGGTTTGCCTGGTCGAATGCCAACTTGGCATTTACGGCTTGAGGGGAGGTTGATTGCCCTTCACAGTGAGGACACCCTTTGGTTTTATGGGTAACATTTTCATCAGATTTTGGCCAGGATGTCTAAGAGAAAGGGTCATCAGAGGTTTGTTTCTCAGAGACTGCCAGGAGTGGTGGTGGAAGCAGTCGTTACGCTGGGCTTTGCATTGGTATGAGACGGGGAGTGTTTTATATATTTCCTCTACGTGGGAGGGTGGGCAGCTGTCTCCATTCTGCAGATGAGGAGATAGTCCAAGAGAAGGTAGGTGTGCTGTTCAGATCAGGTAGCAAGTCAGTGATAGAGTTGGACCCAGAAATGAATTCCACAAGCTCTTATTGGTCGTAGACTGTAAGCAGCACCAGGCATGGTTGCCAGATGGGCTGTTGTCTCCCCTGGAGCTCTCAGTTTAGTAAGATGGGCGTATGGGGTACTGGGACGTGTGCTGTCATAGTGCTATGAACAAAGTACCAGGGGACATGTATTAATTGCATCCTTCAGTATGTATCAAAATATAAAGTAAAAACAAAAGTTCAGTGGGGGAAGTTGGAGAAGGCTTCCAGAAGGTGACGTTCGATCTGGGTCTTAAAAGATGCATAGGAGTTGGAGGAGGGTGAGCAAGGCCTTCAAGGCTGGAGGAAACAACCTGGCACGTGGAGGAACATCAGACAACCAGGGGTGGCCAGATCACAGTGTGTGGGCCTTGGAGTGGGGGCCTCGAAGCCGGACAGGTAAACTAGAACCAGATTGTAAAAGCCCTTTCAGGACAAGCTAAGAAATTTAGGTCTGACTCTGGAAGGTGTGGGGGAACCTTTGGGCTTCTTTTTGATCAAGGGAGTGACAGGATCAAATATGTTTTTTTAGAACTCTTGTCAGCACTTGTGGAAGGTGGATTGGAATGAAGAAAGAGAGAATGAAGGTAGCAAGACCAGTGAGGAGGCTCTAGTAACTGTCCAGGTGAGAGCTGAGGACTTGAACTAGAGTTATGGCCCTTCTCTCCATTCATTCGACAGCCTTTAATTACCTACTGTGTGCCTGGCACCGGGTCTGCACCTGCCCCGCTGTTGCTCCCTCACACCTGGGACAGGTGTGAACAGCAGCGCTGCGCATGCACGCACACACACACTCTTACGGCAGGTGGCAGTGAATTGTTGCAATGTTAGAGGAGGCAGTGGGCCTGAGAGACAGACAGATGGACGGACGGACAGACACAGAGCCCGGCTTTACAGGGAGGTGGAGAACGTCTCTCAGAGGAAATAGTGCACTTTAAACTGAGCCTCGAAGGAGAAGGAGGCCACCAGGCAAGGAACTGCAGAAGGGAGAGCAGGCGTAGGCTCTGGGGCCGGAAAGAACGTGGGGACCAAGGGGACTGGGAAGACCGTGGGCCTTGGAGGGCGGGGCGATGTGAGTGCCCGCTGCTGGCGGCCAGCTGCTCAGGGCTGGACCCAGGTTTGCTGCTTAGCCTGAGGTTGTGGGGTCTCACAGAAGGAGCAGGAGCAGGCTGTGGTCAGAGTGGTGTTTTTGAAAATTGCCCTGGTTGCTTCTTGGAGACTGAATTGGAGAGAGGTGTGAGCAAGCCTTGCGCTTCTGGCTGTCGCTTCCCGTGCTAGGCAGGACTGGGGAAGGAGCAGGTCCCAGGAACAGAGGGAAAGAGCAGAGTTCCATTCTGCGCTTGGTAAGCTTGAGAGGCTAGTAGGTGGTTAGATACGTGGTCTTAGAGCTCAAAACTAGGGGTGAAGATTTGGGAGTTGTCAGTGTATAAATAGTAATCGTATCCCTGAGATTAGATGACAGGTCTGTGGAGAAAGAGTGAGAGCAAAGAAGAGTGCCGAGGCCTGAGCCCTGTTTATACTCTTCCCGTGTTGTCTCCAAAGGAGCACTTAGAACAGTCGGTTTATTGCCCTGAAATACTCACAGCCCAATGGCTAAGAACGCACAGATCCTTGAACTTGAATGCCTAGGCTTCAGACACCAGCTCTGCCACGTACTGCCTGCAGGATGTGGGTCTGTTACTCCCCTCTCCTCCTCAGCTGGAAAATGGGTAAGGACAGCATCACCGTGAGGTGTGGCAAGGTGAGGTGTCAGCAGAGGGCCTGGAGGACAGTCCCAGTGAGTGCTCGGTCACCGCTCGGGCACAGGGGCCCAGAGGCCCCTTTCACCCAGGGCTGGGATGAAGGGCGTCCTGGGAGGAGTGACACCAGCAGCTCTGAAGGAGGAGCACAGATAATTCTCCAGGACAAGAAGGTAAGAGAGGGGCAACCCGGACGGAGAATCAGCACGTGTGAGGCAGGTGACAGGAGCTGTTTGTCATGACTGTGCAGTGCTTGTCTGTCTCACCAGATAGACTGTTACACACATGCACACACATCTTTGTAATTTTTTATTTTTTAATGAGGCGAGACTGGAAGATTCTCTCCCTCCATTAGAGGTGCTGGCAGCCTCCACCTCCCAGGTGGGCCCTTATCTGTTCAGCTCATTTCAGTCAGCAGAGGGGAGCCCTGCTCCCAGGCCGTCCCAGTCACGTGGTGGCCCCGGCGGCCGGCCGTGCCTGTCCGGCCCAGGAGGGAGGGGAGGGCCTGGTCCTTCCTAGCCTCCCTGGGGGAGTGATGGCCTCAGATCCCCTGAGTCTCCAGTCTCCTAGAGTAGTTTGGAGGTTTCTGTTTGTAGTATTGTGTTTGTTTTATGCCCTTGGAAGTAGCTAGTGGGTCTCTATTGAGAGCATCTTGGCACAGAGAGAAGCTCCCAGACGGTGAGCCCAGCTTCGTGCTTCCCGGTGAGAGCTACCTGGGAAGCAGAGCCCCCGCTCAGAATTCAGCCCTGCGGGGAGCACCCCGAAGGGGTGAGGGGTTCACTTTCCGTTGCTCAGGTGATGATGTACTGGGGAGGAGGGGTCACCGAGGGACAGTTTCTGCGTGGTAATGAGCTCAGCCTAGTTCATCTTTGTAAAAATTCTGATTATATCTGGGTTATATCCATAAAACAGTAACTTCAGAGGATTTTCAAGTGTGTTTTGATTGCTGGGAAAGATGTAAAACCTGAAAAGAACTTGTCGTCTTGGCTTCTTTCATCACTGGCATATAATGAGACCCTGTGTCGTTGACTTTCTCCTCTCTCACAGGTCGTGAGGCCAGGGCCGCACGCTGGGGAGGCTCCTGTGTCCTTGTCGTCTTTAGATCAGTCCCACGGCAGGGCGCTGAGGAGTGGCCCTGACTTGTGGCCCTGATGCTGCCCAGGGCTGCACCTGCTCTTCCATCCCACCACCCCGGGAGTGGGAGGGGGTTGGTTTTGCGATATTCTGTCTAGCTCTCTAGCAAAAAGGTGGCTCTGGGCATTCTGTTAGTTTTGTTTTTGTTGTTGCTTTTTTTAATCAGAGGAAGGAAATGAGCACATAATGATCTACTCTGTAAAGTCTTGACTTTGAGAAAAATGACACCTGATCCTCTCTCACAGAGCTCTGAAATGCCCTTTCCTAATGCTCCCTGCGGGAAGCAGCCGTCGCTGATGCGGTGCTTAATCAGAGCCCTTAGTTGCCGCTTTTGCTGTGGCTACATTATGGCTTTTCCAGCAGCTGCTGTGGTTTTTGAATGGTTTGTTTCAGTATTTTTGTTATAAATTAATATCTGCATTGTAAAAGGCATAGTACTCTTCCCCTCTCCATCAATGTTTTCCTGCTTGTCATGTTGATAGTGAAAAAAAGGAAAAAAGTATGTGCTTTAGAAAAGCTTCGTTTTAGCGGTGGTGCTTTAGTGTGGTTACAGGTTTATTTTTATTCTTGCTTCCTTTTAACTAGTTTAGTATAGTTTGAAAATCTTGTATGTTAATGCCGTTAATGATGGCAGTTTTGGTGTTTGATTTTCACTGGATCAATATTAGAAATGAGACTAATATTCTGTGAACAGGATGAGGACTGTGGGGGCGGCGGGTGATGATCAGGAAGAGAAGTGGCTGGGGGAGGGGGAGCCCACCTCCTGGGTCGGGGTTTTGACAAACAGAAACGGCGTATTAACACCCAGAGTTTGGCTTTGGTTTTGGTTTTTATGAAAGTGACTATAAAAGTAGGCCTTGGAGCATTTTGGAATTGACTTTTTAATGGAAAGCCCAGTGGCTGCTCCAGGCAACCGAAAAGATGGTCTCGGCTGCTGACTCTGCCTTCTCCCCTCCCTGAGACCTGCCTTACTTCCCTCCCTCTCCGCGCTTGCTGAGAGTGGGATGTGCGTCCTCCTTGGAGCGCCCTCCCCCAGCCTCTCCTCTCCAGCCCGGCAGGCGGCTCTCTCCTCCGGCGTCCTCCCCTCGCTCCCCAGCCTCAGGCTGGCTTCCCTGTGCTCTCAAGGGCAGCTGTGCCCCGCCTGCGGCTCTGCCTCTCTCCGGGCTCCGGGCTCCGGGCTCCGGGCAGGGCTGTGGTGGAGGGAAGTGATGGTGCAGGGGACATCCTCTCCTCTCCTGGGGGGACTCCTGGGTCATTCTCTCTACTTTTCCTTCTGCCTCCCTGAGTTTTGTCCTGCTCCCTGTAAGTTGGCTTTTTGCAAAGCTTCGTAGTCTCCTCCTCCTCTTGCCGCACCTGCTGCCTTGGAGGTCTGGCTCCCGTGTTCACAGCCGGTCTCCTTGTCTCCCCGGCCACTATCATCAGCTGTCTACTGGATGGGGACACGTGGACTTCTCCCCAGCTTAGCCACCCTCCACTCTTGGTGTCACCACTTTCCCAGTCACTCAAGCTCAAAACCTAGGCATTTTCCCACGCCTCACCTCACCGCCCTTCGCCACCCAGCTGATCATTGTAAACAGCCCACCTGCCACGCTGCCACTGGTCACGTTTAAGACTTTTTTGTCCACAGACAGTTGTCATAGCCCCCTAACCTGTCTCCACCCCCCGACCTAATATTAGTAGTGGAATTGTAGGTGCTCTTCTCTGCCTGCTGACAGGAGTTTTCGTGTTGTTCTGTCACCTCCCTGTTCAGAAGCCTTCATGGTCCCCGCTGTCTGCAGCAGCACTGCTGGTAAACACAGTGTGAGCCACAAATACAACTTAAAATTTTCTAAGTAACTTAAAATTAAGTAAAAAAAAAAGGTGAAATTAAGATATTTCATCTAATATATCCAAATATTATTTCAACATACAATCAGTATAAAATCATGAATGAGGTAATTCCCATAATTTTTCCAGTCTTGAGAATCCAGCACGTCTCACTTTGGACACACTGCAGGCTCTTGGGCTGTGGGATTGGGCAGCACCAGGCCTCGGGGTCACAGCCCAGCCCCCCAGCCTGGGACTTCGTCTCTGTGAGTCCAGGTTCGCAGCTCCAGACGCGATTTCTTGCCCTGCTCAAGTGCTCCGGCCAAAACACGCACACGCACACGCACACGCACCGCACACACCCACATCCCCGCATCCCCACGTCCCCCCGCACCATGCTGCGCCTTTGTCGGGCTGCCCCGCGCCAGCTTGGGCCCCTGCCTCTCTCAGCCTCCTGCCCCACCTCTACTCAGGAGCTCCCCAGAGGGCCCTGGGGCTTTGCCAAGGGTGGCTTCTCGACATACTCAAACATACACTCTTCAGGTCAAGGCCCCATTGATGCTGGAAAACTCAAGCCCAGCAGGGAAATCCCATTACTCAACATTGAAAACTGAGTAAGATTCTTTACTTTTTGTACTAGACATTTTCTGGAACCAAAAGGTACCCCTATGGTGCAGAAACTGGGCTTCATTCTTTATATTTATTGAATAACATGTTCTAGGTATTTGTTTTTTTAATTTGAAAGGCAGTGTAAAATGCTTTCTGTTCTCTTCCTTTTTGGTTAAACCTAAACCAAATAAGAACCCAGAGCAATTTAAATTCAGTGACTCCTGGCTAGCCTGAGAGTCATGCCCGCCCTGCTCAGGGTCTGAAGTAGGCTTGTGCCCTGTGCCTGAGAAGCTGTGTGCAGTGGCCCTGGCCTTCGCTGGCCTTTGTTGGTGGCACAGAAGACAGACGGCAGCCCCACTTAGGGGTGTGACGCCCTGCGTTGGTGTGTCATCTTGCCTGGTCTGTGGCACCTGCACCCGCTCCTTCTGTGTCTCCAGGATGTCTTGTGCTTGGTCCCCCCTGCTCGCCTGCCATCAGCGCCCTTGGAGTGGTTCCCTCTGTGAGGCTGCTCTTCCCAGCATCCCTCAGCCTGTTGTCTGCTGCCCTTTAACTCTGCTCAGCGAGCCCTCACTGCCAGAGGTAGAGCCTTTCCAGGCCCTCCTGTTTGGGATTGAAATCACTATAATCCCCCTACCCTTTGTCTTTGTTTTGCTCCACAACACTCCTTACCATCAGAGTGTGTCAGTTTGACTAGCTTTTCATCCCGCTTGAACGTAAATTCCATGTGGGAAGGGGTGTCTGTCTGCCAGTGCTGTATCAGTGCCCAACACAATGTGTGCTCAACAAACAGGGAAAGGAGGAGTGAGTGAGCGCGTGCACTGCGTGTCCCCTGGTGGGTGAGACGACAGTACCTGTCTTCCTATGGAGACGGGCCCTCCTGCCTACATCGCGGATGGAGTTTAATTGTCCCCTTCTCCGCGGGAGGTGATTTGGTGATACCTATACAAATTGTGCACGTGTGTACCTTTTGACCCAGCTGTTCCACTGGGAATTTGTCCTGCAGGTGTAATTGTCCATGTGGGACCTGCGGTGTGCACGAGGCTACCCTTCGCTGCATACATGTCCCTCAGTGGGGGACTTTTGAAATAAACTGCAGTACGTCCGTATGACTGACTACTCTGCAGCTGTAGAAGAGAGTGAGGAACCTGTCTTTGTGGCAGCACAGACAGATGCACACAGTGTGTGGCTGAATGAGAAAGCGGAGGTACAGACGTGCGTGGTCTGCCGTTCGGTGTGAAGAGGGTCCATGTTTGCCTTGTCCGCCAGGAGGACACTCTGGAGAGAGAAGCAAGACGCCAAGCACAGCAACTCAGGACGGGGGTCTGGAGCGGAGGGCGGGTGCGAGCGAGGCTTTCTCCTGCACATCTCTGTATGTGAATGTGCACGTGTTGCCTGTTAAAAACAAGCACTTACATCACAGGGTGGTTTTGAGGATCAAAGGGCACATGTGCAGAGCCTCTTCCTCAGAGCCTGTCACGCGCCCCAGATGCGGGTGGGGCTGGGTACCCCTACGCTGGAGCACACAGTCTGGTAGGGAAAAGCAATGATGCAGAGCAAGGGAGAGCCCCTTTCGCATCACAGTTGCATCTGTGGTGCGTTTATTTTTCTGGTCTGCGGTTTGTTAAACTGGTGTCCCTGACCCCCACGTGCTGAGGTGCAACTATAGCGTCTCCTACTTGGGTGTCCTGGGGGGACACAGAAGGCGGGCTCAAGTTTTGTCTGGAAGTCACATCCACGTGCCTACTTAGAGCAGTCTTGGTGCACCTTTTTAATATGGAATACTGTTTTTAAATGAGCTTTGTCATCCTAGTAATGCATATTTTAATAATGGTGCTACAATTATTTCTCTCCTCGCCTCACATTTGTGGGGTGATACTGTGTTTACCTGACAGTATTGCAGTTTTGAGTTCTAAGAGAATTACTTTTGCTGTGTCTTTTTAAATCAAGAGCAAAATTTTCTCATAACCGTGGTGCTAGAAGTTTTTATGCTCATCCTTAAAATTTTCCACACATGATAGAGTAACAGTGGTGAGATCTTGGAAGAATTGAGGTTAGGTTTGGTTGTGGGGAATGTCAGGTTTGGGAGTGGAGAGCCTCAGTGCCAGGACAAGGACAGCAGCCTGGCTCCCCAGCCGGAGTTACCTTCTGTAGCCGCCTGACGAGGCCACAGGTTGGGGCTGAGCCGGCACCACGCTTGGACACTAGGCTGATCACAGTTTGAAGGCTCAAGAGCGCTGGGGCAGCCTGGACCCGGCGGTCCAGCAAGGTCTGGTGGGGAGGGGTAGTCACCCCACAAGCAAAATTCCTGATCTGTTCCTGTAAGTCACCTCTAACCTCCCAGGGAAGAAACGGCGAAGGTCTCGTGGAAGCCCTGCCAGAGCAGCCCTGGGCTTTCACGGCGTTGGTGTTGGTGTAGGTCGGGTGCCACGTACGGGCAGGTCACCAGGCAGGAGAGGAAGGAGGAGGCAGTGACAATGTAGCTGTGTGCCTGAGGTCGGCTTGCAGCATCTCTGCTAATTTAAGAGGGCCAGCGTGCTGCCCTGTGGCTGAGACACTGCAGAATGACCGTAGTGACACCTGCCGCTCAGTAACCCTTGCTGGACCTGCTGTCCCTGAGCTTCGGGCCCTCGTGCTGTGCAGGATCAGGCCTCCCCACTCCTCCCTGGCTGGGGTCATTGGTTGGCCACCTGCCTTCAGGGGCCTAATTTTCTGCAATAGCTTGCAAGGTTCATTAATCTCTTCTTTGAAAAAACCAAGTGTTTTCATTTTCTATGATTTTCTGTAAAGATGCAGCCCATACAGCAGGCACACAGTGTGGTGCCGACCAGGCAGAAGGCCCTGTGTCCTGAGGGCTTCGCGTCTTTGTGCCCCAGGGCCCCTCTGAGGCGTGAGCTGGGGAATCCCAACCAGGAAGGGGAAGGAGAGCACTGAACTCAGCCCGAGCCGGCCGGCCCCTGAGGCAGCTGGTCCCTGGGGGCGGCCGCAGGGCGTGTCTGGCAGCTGGACTTGCTGGGAACTCCCGGATGGCTTCTGGTGATGGGATTATGGGACCAGGCACCGCGTGGAAGCGCTGTGCCGGGGAGCCCCACAGCCTGGTCCGCAAGCAGGGAGGCTGGCTGGTCGTGCCTTCGGGGAGGCTTCTGCTTTTGCCTTTTGTTCTTTTGGTTTTAAAGACAAGACCCCCAGTCTGTGCCTGTTAACGAAACAGTTGGTCAGTGGACCAGAGCATCCTGGAGCAGAGTGGCAGTGATGAGGCGCATACTCCTGAGTTTTAATCATCTGATTATTTTTTTTCAACACCACATGGTTCCAAAGAAGATTTGGAGGAATTGCTTATAAAGATGCACACAGGACCGTGATGTGAGTGAGGAAGTTGCAGTGCATCAGGGCTGAGGGAGAGCCCAGGAAGTGCGTGTGGCAGCCCTGGATGCCGCTGGCTGCACGTTCACTCCCCACCCGGAGCAGCCAGCGGGGCAGGTGTAGGCATCACGGGATGTGCGGTGACAGTACAGTGCAGAGAACGCGGGAGGCCTAGCTTCCTCAGCTGTGAGGCCCGAGAGTCCCTGGGGGCCTCGGAGAGAGGACGCTCTATAGGCTCAGCAGGGCGCAGACCCAGCCGCTCCTGGCGTAAGACCTGAGAGGCGTCCGCAGGCAGCCCCTCACCAGTGTGTCCCGGCACCTGGTATGGAGCGGGTCGGCTGGGCACATACCAGGCTGTTAACAGGGTTTGTTGAATGACTGACCCGCTCAGTGAAAGCCACTGGCCTGACACCGAGGTGCAGTTCTAGAAAGTAATTCTCTAAGGGGCCAATTGGCTCTCCGCTGGCGTGGCTGCCCTCGGGTAGGACGTGGAGGGCCTGGAAGGATGCGGCTCCTCTTACCGCCAAGTGGACAAGTATTCTTGCTGGAAAAGTAGACCTTTCAAACTTCTCCGTTGTGATAACTTGTTCTCCTTTGTCTTCACAGAGACTAATAGACAAGTCACGAGTAACCTGTGTCAGATGGGTTCCTGGTTCGGAAAGCCTTTTCCTAGTAGCCCATTCGAGTGGGAGCACGTACTTGTATAATGTGGAGCACGCTTGTGGCACCACAGCCCCCCACTACCAGCTCCTGAAGCAGGGAGAGAGCTTTGCCGTGCACACTTGCAAGAGCAAATCCACGAGGAACCCTCTCCTTAAGTGGACGGTGGGCGAGGGGGCCCTCAACGAGTTTGCTTTCTCCCCAGATGGCAAGTTCTTGGCGTGCGTGAGCCAGGACGGCTTCCTGCGGGTGTTCAACTTTGACTCGGTGGAGCTGCACGGCACGATGAAAAGCTACTTTGGCGGCTTGCTGTGTGTGTGCTGGAGCCCGGACGGCAAGTACATCGTGACTGGGGGCGAGGACGACCTGGTGACAGTCTGGTCTTTTGTCGACTGCCGAGTGATAGCTCGAGGCCACGGGCACAAAACCTGGGACGCGTCGTGGCG